GACACAAAACTCGAACCAACGCCTAGTAAACATAACTTGAGCTAAAATTGAGACTTGCAACACCTTAAAGCTAGGAAATGCATCAAAAGCCGATCCCAATCACGCATCAAATGCGTGTCTAAATACGGAGTTATCACACACACACTCCGAACTTTATATAAAAAGTTAATTTCACATCATTATTAAATGCTTTACAAATACAGATTTGTTGGAATAATTATATAGTTTAAAATACCTTAAGCCTTGTTAGAATGCAATTAACATTCTATAATTTTATTCGTGAAATAAATAATATAACATCTGGTACAATTTAATTTTAATTGCATCTTCATAAATGTTTTGTGTATTTAAAATTATGTACTTAACACCATAATGGTGCATTTATGAAAAATATATGGTCATGGTGCTAACATAGCATTTATGTCACACCCCTTCAAAGTTTGGGATATTTAATTTTTTCCCTTCTTATTATAATAAAAAAAAAGGAAAAATTCAAAATAATAATTCTACTATTATCGATCCGTTCACAATAATTCTGAATATATATTATTTCTATATAGTCCCAACTGTATGACTTGTTGGCCAGTAATGATCGATCTATGATTGTTTATAACCTCTTATAGCAATTCATGTTTAAATAGAAACTACATGTATTCTATAAATAATTTGAACTATGCACATTTTTCTTTTAATCATGTCAATCATTCACACAATTTTTTTACAAGGCGTAGAAAATATTATAAAATTTTCAAAATTTTGGATTTTATAATATGTAAATTTAACTAAATGTAAAAGTGTGTAGTGCCTTAGAAAATAAAAAATATTACGTAGTACATTTTATTTCATATTTTTATCTTTAGAAAAATATTATTTCTAGTTTTTGGGAAAAAAGTATTTAGGTCCCATTGCAAATTCACGATTTTGTATTGATTTTGAATTAATTTTTAAATGATTTGATATTTTAATTAGGATTATTAGCTTTTAACTTTTAAATAGTTAATAAAAAATTATTATCTCTAAAATTGACATATTTTTACCCTCCTTATTTATATATATAGATACCATTTCTATTTATAGGAATGGAGAGGTAGATTATTCTACTATAATGGGCCTCAACACGGGTTTAGGTAATAGGTTATAGAGATAGCATGAGAATATATGACATGGACACATGGTACATGACAGTTGAAGTATAAAGTAGCACCGGTTTAAAAACATTAAACATCATTTGTATAATGCATGACATAAAAAAGTATAATGCATGCAATGACATACTCAATGAACTTAATTATAAGTAACACATTAAGCGTTGTGTATATATTTACAACAATGACTTTGATCAACCGTAGCAACTTCATAGAATTCAAAATTGGCCGGGAAGAATGCTGGAAGCCTCAGAAACCAACAAACCAATAAACACGATTATGAATATCATAGCAACAAAAATATGTCTCTTATGGTTGCAATATTATGCGTGATTATTGTTCTAATAATATTGTTCCCCTGGCCTCATCGCTTAAAAAAGTATATACTTTTATTGAAGGTAAATATTAGTGTATAGTGTGTTGTTATGGTGTTGCTTGACAATGTCTTGTACCATTTTCTTACCACCCAGAGGGTCTGAGTAAATAGGGCTGAAACTGCTTCAATAGAATTTTGAATCCAAAGCCTTCCGTACGGCAGAGTAAGTCGGCGACTATTTGAGCTGAATTACTTTCTCACGTGTTGTTACTCTTATAGTGATGGAGTAATAGGACTAGGCCCAGAGCCTAATCGGCCCAAGCCCCGAACTTGGACCCGTGGATCCAAGTCCACAACCTGGAGCCTATCTACCAGTCCAGCGGGGAGCCTGTCAGTCCGACCGACCTGCCAGCTAGGAAAAATAACGGTCAAGCAATTAATGCGTTATTTAATTATGTATTTAATTCCGTATTAATGTTGTAATTAATTAGTCATTATTATCGATAGCAGTTACGATTTGTATACGCCTATAAAAGGCACATTGTAATTCAGATTAGAAAAAAGCGAATTCTAAAAGTTATTTCTGGCTATCAAACTCTCTAGCTACTTTCCTTATTCGTATTGCTTTCCTGATTTCTGCTTGAGTGTCCTTACGTAGCTTTCCTAAAAGCCTACGAGCGTCCTATTTTGGACCAACATTGGTGCTTTCATTGAGAGCTTCTGTTATCTCTCACATCACTCTAGTAGGAATTACCAAAAAAAATTCAGAAAAATGGGAATGTTTGAAGGTTTCCATGAGTTTTTCAGAATTTCATATCTGTAACCCAGAATATGAATCTAGATATGAACTTTTTCAGATATGGAAAAAGCCAGCAACAATCTGATACGGAGGCATAGGGACCTTAGTTCGGCAATTGGCTACACAAGTAAAGTTTCCGGCGATATCTTCTGATTTGTTCGCCTTGGGAAACTGAGCTTGGATATCCATCATTAATGGCCGCTGGCAAGGAGAGAACCTCAAGCCCGACACCGACGCTCAAGATCAGAAGCTTCTAGGCATCGTTCGTAGGCCACCTACATCTCCATCTCAGCCCTGTTCGTCCGCTCGCCTAGAGTTGTACTGACCAGACGAATTAACCTAAGTCTGGCACCCTCTCAGGCCGGCGAATCCAAGCCGGGAGTTCCCTTAGGCGGACGGTGCCCTGAGGTCGGCAGCTGAATCCCCAGATCAGGTGGTGTAGCTTGGCGACAAAACTCTTGGGCCGCTGATGTAAATCTGATGGTGCTCCGGGCGACGCGAGTCCTCTAGGCCGCACTAACGGCCGCCCTCCGATCGGGCACTCCAGTCAATGGCACAGGCCGGGCGGAGCTTCCCATGGCAGACGACCCATCCGATGGCAGTGGCGGTAGCCGGCTTCCTTTCTACTGCGACGGCGGCTGTTCTCTGCCTCTGTGACGGCCAAAGGACCTCCCTTCTGGAAGTCTCCGTCTGCGGTCTGCCAGAAGCTTAGCACAAGGTGTTAGGCAAGCTGTTCAACACCACAAACTTTGCTAGGTTGATTTTCGGGCCTGGAGTACTTAAGGGCCAAACCCATTTGAACTGGTTTTTCGTATGGACCAAGCTTCCATTCTTCCAAACAACAGAAAAGCTAAGTATACTGCTCAATTTTACATCATCATCGATCAAAAAATTATAAAATGATTCAATAAAAAAATCACAAATTGAATCATTCCAAGAGTATTTTGAGTGATATAATTGCTTTCACTCTTGTCAAGCGTATGTAATTTTAACATTGACCAACGGACTTATGAAATCTAATCACTCAAGTACGCCGGGCGAGCACACACACTCGTACATTGGCCGAGCACACACACTCGCGCCACCGGGTCACGTCATATGGGTGTGACGATTAATAAGCTCCAATGTAAATGCTAATACCTCACACTCTTGACTTCATACGAGTTCTTGCGTGCTCTTACCTCTTCCTAGTGCATCACACTCCGACCTCGGGGGACGAGTCACCCGTTCAAAAGTTTTTACTTGCGGGTTCGAACTACTAACCTCGGGCGGCGAGTTAAACTCTTGTTAGGGGCCTAGAGCCACGCTCTTCCGAGCAATTTTTTCACTTAATTGACATTCACATTTCCCGAAAAGGTCAATATACTTTAGTTCTGTGGGGTTGGATTATCCGTTCGAATGGTGACTCCGAGTCACTTACTTGCGAATTCAATCTTCCTTTCGGAGACTGGGTTGAGGCCTAACTTGGGAAATTGATGTCACTCTTTTCAAGTAGTGAGTCCGACTCACTCACTCACTGAGTCGTGGTTCAACACCAGACCAAATGCTCTATTATACACCTGTTGCTTTTATGTGTAGGTACGATTGAATGAGGAGTAGCCTGATGAGTTCAAGCCCGACGAGAAGAACGGTTCTAGTCGTCCTCTTCACAGATGGCGAGCATTGCAATAAAGGCTAAGGATTTCACCTCTTCTTCATCTTGGGGGCGTCAGGTGTACTCTTTTTCCCTTCATTGGGATTTTTTCCCATTGGGTTTTTTCCTAATGAAGGTTTTTAATGAAGCATCTCCCCGACATGGACAAGGGCGGGGATCTTCCAGTCTCGAAGAAGAGCAACTGACTTGGACTACTCCCTCTTAGCCGAGTTTACTACTCGACTAAGGGAGTGGGGGACTCGTGATGGAGTAATAGGACTAGGCCCAGAGCCTAATCGGCCCAAGCCCCGAACTTGGACCCGTGGATCCAAGTCCACAACCTGGAGCCTATCTACCAGTCCAGCGGGGAGCCTGTCAGTCCGACCGACCTGCCAGCTAGGAAAAATAACGGTCAAGCAATTAATGCGTTATTTAATTATGTATTTAATTCCGTATTAATGTTGTAATTAATTAGTCATTATTATCGATAGCAGTTACGATTTGTATACGCCTATAAAAGGCACATTGTAATTCAGATTAGAAAAAAGCGAATTCTAAAAGTTATTTCTGGCTATCAAACTCTCTAGCTACTTTCCTTATTCGTATTGCTTTCCTGATTTCTGCTTGAGTGTCCTTACGTAGCTTTCCTAAAAGCCTACGAGCGTCCTATTTTGGACCAACATATAGGGTAATTATTATTAGTACTACATTAGTAATATATAGGAATTTATTTTTTGAAGAAAAATGTGTGGTGTCCAAGTTGTCTGTCGTTCCACTCTTTTTTGAATGTCCCAAAATGCATACATGAAGTTTAAATAACGTCTCATATAATATAACACTTCACGTAATGTGTTTCTACCAGTAACGATGTTTTTTTTTATGAAAATGCAATTCATATATTTTACATAATCATTATATTCATGCAAATTAACTCGTATACTCAAGACTATTTAGTTAGGTTTATTTACGGGCAAAGATCGTGTTGCATATTTTTAATTAAATATTAAATGTTTGAAAAAGCAGGCCTATTTTATATATATCCAAGTTAGTAAATTTAAAATTACTTAACATGCTCCATGCATTACAAATGGAAAAAGTTACTTTTGACAACCAAAGAACTTAAGAACGTAACTCTGGTTCCAATTGGATCATCACTCTAAAGTAAAGTCCGATCCTTTACATGCAATGCATTGTTTTTGTGGTGTTACACGAGGTTTTCCAAGAATTTTTACATGCAACGTGCTCTGTCCACTTAAAATTGATAGAAGTTGACATGTTACGGTAAGTCTTCCAGTCCCTCAAAACATTTCTTAAATCATCCACTTTGGCCCTAATGGTCTTGCAACAATTTGCATGGACGGTGGACACCACAGATACATCATTACTGTCGCTGCAGAAGCCGCTAAAGTAGAGGACATCTAAGCAACGAACCACAAGCCCCATCTCCCTGAGCAAGCCTTTTCGACTCATCCGCGCCAGAACGTCTTGCTCTTTCACTTTGCTCTCTCTCAACTTGTACCAAGTCTTGAACATCCTTATGGTTTTATTGTTGGACTGTACGTAGTAGAAGCCGGTGTTGATCGGGTTGTGTTCTGACCATGGGTCACCGTTAAAAGCGTCTGTACTTATTTGCATATCATATGACATGTTGGTACTCAAACGTTTGAAAGGATTCCTTAGCCACATTTACATCGGTGTCCTGTGTACGTGTCAATCAAACATTACATCAAACTAATACAAGTTGTGCCAGATTTGTCCCAAATGGTGTCAGGCTGACACTTCTGCCGCGTTGCAGAGAAATTTTTTGGCACTTGTGCAAATTAAAATGTGATTGTTGATATTGGCACGGCGCATCTGTGCCAAGTGTGTCCTAACAGTTTAGAAGAATCTCGAGCACGTGTTGGTACGTCTCTTCCGTGCCAATACTTTGGGCTGCACATACATTTTAATAATTTTGGCACGGATTAGCTGTGCCAAATGAGAATGATATTAAACCAACCCTTAGACACAATTTCTCATTTTCATTTAAATCCCCTCTCAAACCCTAAACGCCGTCCCTTCTCCCTTTCACACCTACTGTCTGCCGGCGACCTACATACTCCGGCATCCTCGAACCCCGGCAACCGAAATCCGTCATGAGGTCATGTATATATCTTGTTGTTGTATTTTTTTTTCTCATCTTATATATTTTCATAAATTGACTTTCTTGTTCATGGTTTGTGTGTAGTATGACAAACAGTGGTAGAAGTAACAGCTCCGGTCTCCGAAGAGGCCGTGGAAGAGGTCGAACTTCGCAGAGCCGGTCTCGTCATGAAGAATCACCTAGGACCTCGACCGGCTTGCATTCAACACAAAGTATTTTCAATCGGCGGCCATCTCTAGACGTTACCTCCCCGAACAGAAGAAGAGATGCCAAAGGTTCCATATCCCGTAATGGCGACGAATGTTCCATTTCCTGTGATGCAGCGGTGCCTAACGTGAACAACCCATTGATTATACACCAAAGGATATGGTTTGGTTAGTAACCTAAACGATGTGTCTTTTGGATTCAAAGGGTTGGACCTTTTTTTGTTTAAAATATTGCTAAATTTGATTTTTCTGAAAATAAAAGAGATTTTATTTTCTGTTTGTATGTGTTAATATTTTGCATTAAATAGTTTATTTTATTCTATATGTTTTGTATTGCTTAACATGAAAATGTTTAATGTTACATCTTTATTTCGCAATAGATTCTTAAACTTTTGTATACTATATGTAAATATTATTTCGAATTAAACTATTAAATATTTCACATCAACATGATATTGAACAGTTTATTTTATACTATATTATTAATATTATTAAACATCAAAATGTTTATTTGACTGTTGATTATTTCACATTAAGCTATTTCGGATAAACTATTGAATACTTTGCATTAATATGTTATTGAATAGTTTATTAAAATGTAAATATGCGTTACACAGTTTTATAATATCAAACATTAAAATATTATTGAATTGTTTACTATTTGCTTTAAACTATTTAAAATATCCAATGCAGCCAACCCCGACTCAACGTGCCGGCTCGACGCAACCGGCCCCGACTCAACCTTGTTCAATGGATGATGATGACTTTTTCGTTGAAGACTTTCTCCCCCCCCCAATGGTCTATAACGTTAATACCTCCCTCCCAATGACATGTAATGTTAATACCTTCCTCCCAAATACTTATTTTTGCAGTTCTTGATGGATTTGTTGGGTAGTTTTAGATGAAAATTAGTGTTCAATGTTGATTTGTGTTTGTTTAATGTTTATGCAGTTGTTGTAGTTGCTTACTATTTTTTGTTTAGAATGATGTTTTTATTTGTTTGGAGTAATGTTTTTGCTACAAAAAAATTGGCCCATATATTTATATAGATATACGTCTATATCTATATAAATATATGGACATTTTTTTATTTATTTAATTTTACATTGGCACGGCTTGTTGGTGCCTATGTTCAAAACCGTTTATCTGAGAGCACGTATTTGGCACAACACATTCTCGCCAATATTCAAAAATCCACTTCAACGTAAAAGGTTTGGCACAACCACGGCGTGCAACATTCAAAACCTTTCAAACGAGGAAATACAGTTGGCACAATCGCCCCGTGCCAAAATTCAAATTTCTATATGAATTTTGGCTCAAGAATTGAACCGCCGTGCCAAAATTCAAATTTCTATACGATATTTGGCACAAGCCTCGTCGTGCCAACTTTTGACAGAAAAGTTAAGTGAATCCGTTAAATTTTGGCTGCGTTGGTTTTGTGCCACACGTCGTGCCTAAATTTGGCACGGCATATAGACCGCGTGCCATTTGATTTGGAAGGCCCCAGGTGGCACGGCTTGGGTGTTTGTGCCAATGCCGTGCCAAAACCCATAGGCAGGGCAATAATCTGAAAGCTGTCGTGCCAAATGTTGTGCCAATTTCGCACTTTTCTGGTAGTGCGATGTTTTTTTTTTTTTATGAAAATGCAATTCATATATTTTACATAATCATTATATTCATGCAAATTAACTCGTATACTCAAGACTATTTAGTTAGGTTTATTTACGGGCAAAGATCGTGTTGCATATTTTTAATTAAATATTAAATGTTTGAAAAAGCAGGCCTATTTTATATATATCCAAGTTAGTAAATTTACAATTACTTAACATGCTCCATGCATTACAAATGGAAAAAGTTACGTTTGACAACCAAAGAACTTAAGAACGTAACTCTGGTTCCAATTGGATCATCACTCTAAAGTAAAGTCCGATCCTTTACATGCAATGCATTGTTTTTGTGGTGTTACACGAGGTTTTCCAAGAATTTTTACATGCAACGTGCTCTGTCCACTTAAAATTGATAGAAGTTGACATGTTACGGTAAGTCTTCCAGTCCCTCAAAACATTTCTTAAATCATCCACTTTGGCCCTAATGGTCTTGCAACAATTTGCATGGACGGTGGACACCACAGATACATCATTACTGTCGCTGCAGAAGCCGCTAAAGTAGAGGACATCTAAGCAACGAACCACAAGCCCCATCTCCGCGAGCAAGCCTTTTCGACTCATCCGCGCCAGAACGTCTTGCTCTTTCACTTTGCTGCCGCGAGGGTACCTTTCTCTCAACTTGTACCAAGTCTTGAACATCCTTATGGTTTTCTTGTTGGACTGTACGTAGTAGAAGCCGGTGTTGATCGGGTTGTGTTCTGACCATGGGTCACCGTTAAAAGCGTCTGTACTTATTTGCATGTCATATGACATGTTGGTACTCAAACGTATGAAAGGATTCCTTAGCCACATTACATCGGTGTCCTGTGTACGTGTCAATCAAACATTACATCAAACTAATACTATGTACTATCGTTGAGTGCACATTAACATTGGGACACTTATTAAGAAAAATAAGTTTATGCGGTTGATATTGAATTGATAAAATAAGAATAAAAAATAAATAATTTAGAATCACACAAACTTTAACAAATTTGACATGAGACAATCTTAATACGGAGTAACATTTTCTGAAAAGGAAAAATGGGACTTATTGGAACTGAGGGAGTAGCAGATTCACAAACAAGTAAGCTGGATACATGTATCGATCACTTATAGTGACACAATTAAGTGTACTTTGATGACATGGACAATACAATTGTCACAGCTCGTACGTGGTGAAACATCATTAGCAGATGATGTAACCTCTCTCATCATTGGATATAATTTGACATATCATTCATGAATTTCATTTGTACTTAAAGATATGTACATATAGCTTAGTTATATAAAGTATTTCACACGATGAATTTATAGTTATATACTCCCTCCGTCCCAGAATTAACTTCGGTTTTGACTGGGCACGGAGATTAAGAAAGTGGGAAATGTGCGGTGGAGAGTTGTGCAGAGGAGAGAGAAATGTGTAAGAATGGTTGTGAACCACAAATCCTTTGCTAAAAAGGGAAAGAGGAGATAAATTTGGGACGGACCAAAAAGGAAAGAATGAAGATAATTATGGGACGGAGGGAGTAAATGTTTTGCTCAAAGAAATCGTGACTCGGATCGTGATTTATGATAGAACGTAACTTGAATTGTTACAATAGTTCATTCAATCTTACATATCTAAGAGTTTGAGTTAGGCTGTTGGTCATAAAAAGAAGGGAAAAATAATAATAATACCCCAAACTTTGAAGGAGAGTGAGGTGAACACTCCAAACTTGCATATTTAATTTAAATACTCAAAACTTTATGTAAAAGGTTATTTTCGCACCATTGTCATGTAAAAGGTGTTCAATCCCACACCCCTCCAAAGTTTGAGATATTTTAATTATTTTTCCCAAAAAGGAAATTAACACTCTAGACGTACATGTCACCCCGTAGAATCTATTGTTTCATTTAGAATGGTTGAAAAGTAACATTTGCGATTGTGATTTAAGTATAATAAAATGAAATGTTGTTGACCACATTTTTCTTTCTAAAAAGAGAAATGTGAAAACACTTATTTCGGGACAATCTAAAAAGAAAAGTAAAACATGTAAAATGGGACGTAAAGACTACTAATGTAGTATGCTAAACCACATTTTAATATAATAGAGAATTTTTGTATGACAGAAAACCTTTAGTTTAAAAAAAAATCTACTGGGTAGAAGAAAACAAATTAGAGTAATTAATGTGGTAGGTTTAAAATCCAAACAAATTTTAAGACACGTTTACTACACAGATTACTAAACGGTGCTTATTAAGACTTAGAAATCGAATGGGTCACCAAAGATTACAACTCGATTGAACAAATACACTAATTTGAAGAATAAAAAAGTATGGAAAACATGCGACACATATTATTAGATTCGTATAAATCAAGTGTGGTCATTTAATAATTACTCATGTAATTTCATATGATTGCATTTACAAAAAAATACTGCATTCATAAAATAAAATATAAATCATTTAAAATCACAAATTTTATCAATTTAATAATCTTAAGTCAAAGTATACTCCACAAAAAATATGAGAAGAATTACGTACGGTGAAGATGAAGTTGTAGCCTCGTTCAAGAACATCTGTGAGGAACAGAGTTCTCCTCCACATCATCCTCACAAAACCTTCGGACAAGTAAAGCTTCTCGGAGGAGTAGTCGTCGCCTCCGCCGCCGGCGGTCCTCAGCCAGTAGCAATGCAACCGTCGGAAAACGCAGCGCTGATAAGCGGTCCGGTCGAGGGCAACAACCAGCAGCCGGTTCAGCAGCGGCCTCGTGCCCTCCCCCTCCCAGAAACCCTCAAGAAAAAGATCCAGCATTGACCGGCTCTCGCCGTTGACCGGCTCGACGTATGCGCGGTTGATTATCGTTATGATCAGCGTCTTGCTGCGCTTTATGGAAACCCTTTGCAGCGCTTCTTCAAGATGATCTCTGACCAGCGGCGCCTGCCGCCGCGTCACGGCTGAGTAGTAGTGCTGGTGGGGCAGGAAGGAAATGGAGAAGGGAGTCAGAGTGCAGAGGGAGACGAGTAATAAGAGAGAGAGCATTGCGGCGAGTGAGGAGTATTTCTTGTGATGGCGAAGACGATCTGCCTTCATGCCTGTACTTCTGGATCTCGCCCCTGCCGCATTATTATGAAGCAATTAACTAATTTTGGGTATTTTCATTGATTGATCAAAGTTTTTTAGTAGGAAACTAGGAATTAGGAAAAGGGACACACATACTTGTCCGTCCCAGATAATAGTCAGATTTTCCTTTTGCCCCCGTCCCACTAATTGATCCATGTGAACAAAGTTATCATACCTTTTGGGTACCATAAAATCTATCTTCGTAATATCGGTATAGATCTAATTTATTCTTACTTTATTAACTACTCCCTCCGTCCCAATTTGATGATCCCGTATTTCCTTTCTGGGCCGTCCCAAATTGATAGTCTCATTTCCCTTTTTGGAAAGAAATATGTGGTCCACATCATTTCACCTTTTTCTACTCAAATCTCAACCACAACTTTTACCTTTTCAACCACTTCATTAATCTTTAAGCCCAAAAGAAATGAGATCATCAAATTGGGACGGAGGGAGTAATTATGAGTATTTTGATTGATTGATCAAAGATTTTTTAGTAGGAAACTAGGAATTAGGAAAAGAGACACAAATACTTCGTCCGTCTCGGGATAATAGTCTCATTTTCCTTTTCCGTCCGTCCCACTAATTGATCCATGTGGACAAAGTTATGATACCTTTTGGGTACCATAGAATCTACCTTCGTAATATCGGTATAGATCTAATTTATTCTTACTTTATTAACTAATTATGAGTATTTTGATGGATTGATCAAAGATTTTTTAGTAGGAAACTAGGAATTAGGAAAAGGGACACAAATACTTCGTCCGTCCCGGGATAATAGTCACATTTTCTTTTTCCGTCCGTCCCACTAATTGATCCATATGGACAAAGTTATGATACCTTTTGGGTACCATAGAATCTACTATACTTTCGTAATATCGGTATAGATCTAATTTATTCTCACTTTATCGATTTATTATCAACACATAACTCTACTTTTTTAAAAAACCGCATCACTCCAATTTGTCCCGATCTTAGAGGGCGGAGGTAGTATTATTCAAGAAAAGTAACTGTTTTTCTAAATATAATTAAGGAACCTTAGCTTCTATTTAACTAATTTCAGTTGTTTCTTATTGTAATCTATATCCAACATTTGCCTCAACTCTCACCCTACACCTGTCAAGCTTTTTTTGAAAGTCAATCCCCACTTGATCATATTTACGGAAACCCTCCTTTTAAGTACTCGCGTGTACATTATTTGGATCAAATGATAATAACTTTGAAGTACTATTCACACATTCTTCTTTGACTATATTTTTTTTATTAATGTATTATAAATTAAATTTTTAAAAAATATTTTAAAATTCTTCTCATTCTAAATTTTCAAAATATGAATTCTTTAAATTTTTTTACTAATAAGGAATGAAAGATATTAATGGTCAAACTTGTGCGTTGGCAAACGTGAAATGTTGACTGTTGCAATTAAAAAGGAATAGAGGAAGTATTTGTTATGAATTACTACTTTAGATCTTCAAGATATTAATTAATGACTTGTTTTATTTTACTAATTTAATCTAATCTTAGACTTCCATCAACCCACCGCAAAAGAGTAAATCATCACAATTCAAGTCGCTTTAATTACCAGTTAACTCTGTGTTACTACATGATATTGGGCTTGTTTGGCAATCAGCGGTTGGCGGATTGAGTTAGCGGGTTTTAAACAACGGATTGAGTCAGCGGGTTTGACTGACGTATTAGTTTGGCGGGTTACAGAAAGATGTTTGATAATTTGATTGTTTGCTTTTAGTGATTATTAGATAAAAAGACGAAAAAGTACATTAGCACATTTTAATATTTCTGTCTTTGTTGTTTAATATGATATGTACTTCGTATATTATACACACACATAACACGTCAATCCCAAATAAAATCTACTTGCTTAATCCCCTAAGAAATAGGAAGAACTTTAACAGTTTAACATGAAAAGGAGAGGACTGATTTGGATTAAATTATAGGGAATATGATTAATAGAAAAGAAAAGAATGGAAAAATATAGTAAAGGTTGGGCATAGATGCAGAGTAGTGGGGTACAGATGTCGAATCATGGCATACAGATTTTGATGGAGTATGTGGACTCCGACCCCCGGTTTGTCGACTACTGGGTCTGGACAGCGGCGCACACACGTTTAGTGGATTCATATTATTGTACATTATTATTATTCAGATGTTCTAGATTAGCTTTTTATACTATTAGTCCATTTATGTAACCAGGTCTGTCAGGCCCATATTAGAGACCCAGACCCGGATTTTTCCTATATATACTCCTTATAGGAGGTTTGTAAACAGGACTCATATTTCATATGCAATATGATGGTCTTGGATAGGGTAAAAGTCTAGAGGGGGGGTGAATAGACTTTTAAATCTTTTTCAATTTTTTCAAGTTTTTGCCTCTAGATGAATTGATCTATAATCTTTTGAGAGATTAATAGATACACAGCGGAAGTCTTTACCCTTTTTATAATGAGTGTGTGACAACTTTCTACCTTGAATGATGTTTGGGCTTTAAACTGTGAGCAGTTGGCTTGGCAGTTGACTAGATGGCAGGGAACTGCTGAGGCAACTGCCAGTTGAAAATGGGAGTTTGAGAAAGATGATAGTATGGCCTTGCAGAGAATGATGAGGGCTTTCTGAATATATGTTGAGCTGAAGATAGTAAAGAGTTTTGCCTGAGCAGTGGTCTGAGCAGTTGGGTAATCCCAGGAAACTGCTAAGCCGTCTGCTGCTTATAAAAAGGTATCTTTGAGGACTGACCAACTACACCTTTTAGTAGTGATATTTAAAGCTTGTGGGTAACAGAAGTCTCAAGGAAAAGTGAGTTATTAAGCAGTAGGATAAGCAGTAGAGTCAATTAAGACGACTGCTTAGGATGCTGCTGGCAAACTACGATCCCTTTAGTGAGAAGTGTTGAGTGTGTGTTTTAGTGAGTAAAGGAGAATCAACACACGATGTATCCTGGTTCAGAGGTGGTGTAATCCTCCTACATCCAGTCCCACCCTATTTCAGATGGATTTCCACTAAAGTATTAAGCCCAATACGCTTAGTGCCAATCTAGCCTTTACAACACTTAGGCCTAGATTGAAGGTTTTTCACAATGAGTATAACACCACTCAAAGTTACTCAGTCCTTAGAATTTTCTCAATTGATCCAGTGGGGATCAAAAGGTACTCTATCTATCTAACTACACTTTAGGATCTGAACAACTGTTCTCCTAAGTGTTTACAACCACTTGTGAAATGTTACAAGAAAGTTCTAACCTCCAACTATGAACTAAGCTCTAAAAATGTGAAAGTGTTGATCTAATCTAAGAGCTTAGTGAAGCATGAGGCTAAGCAGAGAGTAAAGTTGAGTTTGCACTTTCTCTTTTTGCTAGATAGCTTCGTATATGCTTTGATGAAAGTATTTCTCTGCTTAGGATGCTCAAGCTTGTTTTGAACTCATGCTTCTACCTATATTTATAGGCCTTCATGGTTGATCAATCTCATCCGTTGGTTGAGATGGATTAATCTTGTGCGTTGAGGGTCTGGCAAGGACGAATTGTACATTTGTCTTCTTGTGCAGGAGCTTTGAATATTTTTGTTTTCTGTCTTGAATGATTGGGCTGCGGTATGGGTGTGTCTTCAGCCGCTGCAGCTTCACTCCAAGAGGTCCTCCCATGCTGTAGGACCGTGTATTTAATTTTTGTCTTCCAATCAATATTTAGTGTGTTCGAGCATCTCAAATGTGACCTATATTTAATCTTTAAGTAAAATGATATATGCCGGTAGGATTTAAATATCCTATGAAGGTAAAAAGATACCTTATTGCATTTTTATGTATCCGGTAATATATCATTAATCTTAAAGATTGTACATTTATTTTTGTCACTTATGATTTAAATTTTAAATGTTACTTCTGAAAATAAGACTCAATGTAAATTTGTTTAGTATAGTGGCATCATCAAAATCTATCAAAATTGGAGACTAACAATTTCCCCCTTTTTGATGATGCCAAAACTATACAACACAAGAAACAACTGTTTTTATTGATTCGTATTGAGAGTATTGTACATTGGTCTATAGTCTAAAGTACAATAGTTTTTAGTCACTTTCGGACTTGAGAACTGATCTATTCTTGTTTCTTCTTAGCAGCTTCTTCCTTGGCTTTGGCTTCTTCTTCCTTTCTTCTTCTTCTTATCTCAGCTTCTTCTTTGTAGAGTTTGTTTTTCCTTCTTGTTGCAGCTGCTTTCTTTGCTGCTGCTGATCTGGAGGAGGAGGGACCTGCTTGAGTTGTCCTTTCCCCCTTTTTGGCATCATCAGCAGGGGTCTCACTCTCTTTGAAGAGTGCTTCTATTTCTGGGTCGGAGTCAGGATCTTCAATTTGCCTCCTTGATGGATCCAGACCATATACTTCGATGGACAGGGCCTTGATATGATTATTGACGTCCATAAGATCTGTTTTGACTTCATCTTTGACCTCATTCTCTAATCTTTGAAGCTTGTCCTGTGTAGCTACTAGGCTCTGTCCTAGTTTCTGAAAGTCAGACCCTTGCTTCCAAAAGGTGTCCTGAGTAGCCTTTTGAAGAACTTGAAAGTTGTGAGCAATATCTTTAGTGAGCTGTTCATAGGCTCTCGCATGAGCCTGCTGGTCCATAAGGAATTTCTGAGAGAGCTTGAACATGGCAGGGAACTCCTCATTCCTTAGTTTCAGGAGGTATTCTTCATGCTCCTTCACCATTTGGAAAGTCTGCTGAAGATGAGGAGGTAAGGTTGGGAGAGAAGGCAGCTGCTCAGAGGTACCTGCTGCAGTAGGCTGAGCTTGTTGCTGCTGTTGAAGTGCTAGCATTTGTCTTTCGAGGTCCTCATTCTTGGCTTTTAGTGCAGCAATCTCCTGCTTTATTTCATTGGTCAAGGCAGAGTGCTGAGAGTTTTTGGTTTGGAGTAGAGCTCTCTGCTCAGCATTGAACACTTGTTGGATCATTGAATCTCTTCTGATGTGGCTGTGGACTTCTCCAAATCTGATATCTAGCCTTTCTTCTAGTTGCTTCTTCATTTTGATGAGTCTCTTGTGCAGTCTGACCTCTGCGCGGCTGATG